TAGCCATATAAGGCAAAAATTTAACATCTAATAAAAGATACGAGGCAAGACCTCACCTTAATACCGAAAAAAAAAAAACAAAAAAAAAGAAAATAAAAACTTAGAATCTTCATAAATAACCAGGTAAGGATATGTCTTCCCAGAACTAAAAATAATATTCTTGGAGCCAGGTCAGAATACATCTCCCCAGTCAAATAAGGTAAAGGTATTATCCCCAGAACCAAACAAATACAACTTCCAGAGCCAGGTCAGATATTTTTCCCCAGAAAATTTACAAAGAATCATACAGAAACACGGCAATTAGATTTTTATAAAAAAACTAAATCAGAATATGTCTTTTCCAGAACTAAAAATGATATTCCTGGATACGTCTTCCTAGTAGAACCAAGTCAGGGTATTACCAGAAGTATTATCTTCAGAACCAGGTCAGAATATTTCCTCTCAAGAAATTTATAAAATTCGAACTAAATATACAGCAAAGTGTAAACACTTTTCTTTAGTTGCATAAAAGAAATCACATAGCTACTCTTTATTTAAAGTAGTAGATCTTCAAAACATAAAGTGCTGTGCTTATATTTCTACTAAGTTTTTATAACAAAAAGCATAATCCTAGTAATTACCAAGTTTTTTTAAATAAAAAACAACTTACTGGAATTTCTTCTAAAAGTTCTTGAGCTTTGGCTTTTTCTTTGTCAAAACTATTAAACTTATACCAATTAAGTTGTTCTCTAAGAGCTTTTATAGCAGTTCCTTTGTTTTTAGAATATTTACAATCTAACCATGCTTTTGTAAAATCAAGTGTGTTCCAATTATCAGTAGGTGTAATAACCCAATATTCAAAGTTCATATCAATTGTTTTCATTTTTTTTTTAAAAAAAAGTTTGGTTGGTTGTTTTTTTGGTTTGTTTTAATTATGGTATGTTGCTTTTATAGATGTAGTCTTATTTATTGTTTGAAGAATAACAAGGACTTAATAGAAAGTAATAGACCAGATTTGTATATTGACTAATCAGTATTTAAAAGCATATAAACAAATTATGCGTTTAAACACATGTTTAATCATGAATATTCCAAATCAAAATTACATACAATATGACCAATCAAATTATAGAATTTTGATGATCATTGGTAAAGCAAATAAAAAATTAAAATGAAAAATCTAAAAATACAAAAAAGGGCAATTTAAACCTATCTCGAGTGGGTAATTAAAAATGTTCAGGAAAGCAATTTTGCTTATATTTAACTATTTAAAACTTAATCCTATTATAAGCTAAAGTTAATTTAATAAAATATATATTATAAGAATTTGTTTTACTTTAGATATTCTCAAATCTGGTAGATTATTTTTTTCATAAAATAGATCAAGTCTTTAAGCAAATTTGAAGCTTTAATTCTATTTTATTTTTTAAACTATATTTTAGACAAATTTGTCTAAAAATCAAATTATATTTAATATTTTTAAATAAAACAATAATTTATTAATAATATAAAATAGGAATTATTTTTTATACCCTAAATTTATTATTTGTATTCTCTAAATTTAATTTTTTTTAAAACTTTAAGCAAGAATATCTTAGTAATTAGGCTAATCATTAAAATACAAAATTCTGAAAACAAAAATTAACAAAAAAACTACAAAAATATACAAGAGATACTAAGAAACTAATCTCAGTCACTAAGTAAAGAGAAAGAGGATAACAAGAAATACTCAGTCTCTTAAGAGACTTGAGTAAAAAAAGCAGAAGTAGCAAAGAATAGAAGAAGTTGTGAAAAATCAGCGATATTTTTTTGCACTTTGTGAACATTGGGAGAATCGGTCTTGATACTGAATTACAGATCTGTTTTGGTAATACAAGAATCACAACATATAATGAAAAGTAAACAAAGAAAATATAACAAAAACTATGTAATAAAAGTAAATAATAATGGTAAATAACCGCAACAAACAAACAACAACAACAAATAACAGTAGTTGAAAAATAACAAGTTACGTATAACAAAAAAACAATAGAATGCTTTAAAAAAAATCTATCTTAGCAGAATTAGCAAAATGAAATTAAAAGAAATATATAAAGATATAAAAATATATAAATGAGGTTACATTAACTCTGATATACCAAAAGGTATGGAAGAGGTAATAGCAGATATTCAGGGTATAATAACAGCAATAACTGATGAAATAATAAATATACAAGTAGAAGAAATAATGGCAGAATATGCTAACCAAGAACTTATTCTGAAGGAAATAGCTAAAGAGCAAATAGTAGAGCTTTATAAAGAATTATAGTATTATAATATAGGAGAACTAGAGTATACAGAACTTGCACTTATAGAAAGAGAACATGAGGTTTTTCACAAAGCAATACAGAAAGGAAAAGATCTAGTTAATAGTATTATAATAGAAGAAATAGTTGGTTATATAGTAGAATTAAGAATAGCTAATAGAATTTAAAGATTATTAATAGAGAGAGAAAAACAATATACTAAATTAAAGTTGAAACTAGAAGCAGATTGGAGTAGAAGACTCCAAAAACAAAGAAAAAGCTAACAAAGATAGCACAACAAAACAGCCTTAAAGTCTACAGTACATCAATTCAAAGAATCTGTCAAAACTATCATATTAGACTAACAAGAAACAAAAAAAAAGTAAAAAAAGAAAAGAAAAAGATGCAAATTCAACAAGAGGAAAAACAAGCTGCTGAAATAAAATCGAAGTTGAACTTAGATTAGAGCAAGAGACTTCAAAAGCAAAAGAAAATTTAACAAAAGTAGCATAATAAATCAAATTAAAAACTCTAGTAATACAGTTTAAAGTATTTATTAAATCTATCTAGCATGGCAGAAAAAGAAAAAAAAGAAAACCAGAAAAGAAAAACAAGATAAAAACAAGGGATATGATATCCCAGATTTCACAGAAACAAAGATGCTAAACAAGATTCAAAGAAATCAAGACCAAAAATCATTTTAACAACTCTAGAAGAATGGCTAACAGAAGTAATATACCAAATAAGCATTAAAGATTCACAGTATAATAATATAATGTGGAAAAAGAAAAAAAAGATTTGCTTGCAAAATAGATATATAGGCTGAAGTTCTAATAAAACTTGGATACGAATTTATCTTAAAGCATATTAGATCTAGGCCAAAGAGTGCCAAAAATTTGAAAAAAAAAAAAAAAGATATACTATTAATGATATTAGAAAAGATTTTTATAAAACATCTTAAAAATCAAGAGATCTTTAACAAAATACAAGAAAAATTCCTAGAAAGAGAACCAATTTCTAGAAAGAAAAAGAAGAAAAGAAAGACCAAGAAAAAAAGAGAAGAAAACTTCTATACCCAGAATACAAAAGAAAGAGAATTTGAGCAGACTAGCCAAGATCTAAAAATAAAGAAACCGAAAGAAGACTCAAGTTTCTCTGAAGAAAAAAGAACATACAAAAGAATATACCTAGAAGAAACTTATAGAACAAGCCCTCGAGAAAAAAAAAAAGATATGAAACTATAAAACAGAAAGAAAATATTATAGAAAAAAATACAAGAAGACTCTCAAGAGCCAGGTCTCAAATTAAAAAAAACAGATTAAACTGAAAGAAAAGAAAAAGGGGAAATATAAATATAAATGAAAGAATCTTGGCAATAACCCTGTATCAAAAAGAAAGTTATGTTGTTTATTAGAAAATTAGATTTAGAATGATGTTTTAAAAAGGAGAATAGTTTAGAAAAGAAAAATTGCCAATATAATTTAGTTAGAAATTCTTTTGTTTTAAAACTATTTTGTGATAGTTTTTAGGCTAGCTTGATATAGCTTTCTAATTCAGACAATAGTTTTAATCAGTAAGACAGACTATACTTGGGCACCCTTAGGGGCAGCCAAGTGATGTCAGATCTGTAATTTAGATAGTTTAAATATACTTTGTATATATGCTTTGATCTAATAAAGATACTAGTAAGACTATCAATATATAGAAAAAAATATATATATATCAGTAATTATTAAATCAAATTTAATAATTTTTTTTTTTTTAAATTCTATAGATTTATAGAATTTAAACAAAAAAAGTTCATTAAATTTGGTCCTATAGTTGTTAAAATATTTTTACTCAAAATTTAAAAAAATCAAATTGCCTATCAAAACAATATAAAATTTTTTTTTATTTTTTTTTTCAGCAATCCTGCTTTTATTATTTAAATTAGAAGTGCTAGAACTTTATATTTACATTAAATATAAATTTTTTATACTATATTCCTGTACTAATAAAAACCCACTTAACTATAAAAGCCTAGGTATGATCTATCTAAGCAGCCAATATACCTTACATTGGATTCTTAACTTACTGAGGATTTAATTTTTTCGATTCTTGGTTGGAAGCTACCAACCTTGTTAGTGATTACCCAATTCTTTCCAATACATCATAGCTGAGACCTTGACTTGCAGTTTGATTACAAATATCCTCAGTGACCACTTTATTGGTAAAAATTGTATATTTTCATTATCAACCATCTTTTCTAAATTATACATCATATTTTTTTTAATTTCTTTCTTTTGCTATAGCTTGTTAAGTTTTTCTATCTTCGTGATCTCTTGAAGGGTCTTCTTTTTCTTCTTTTTCTTTTGATTCTTCCAGCTTAGTTTTCTTTTCTTTTTTCTCTTTTGGACTTGTATTCGGGCTTGAATTCATCTTCTTTGTACTAGGGCTTGAATTCGTCTTCTCTTTGATAATCTGGCTTGTTTTTTGTGATTTTGTGACTCTAGTTTGTCTATTGCTTCTTCTTGACTTTTTGTTACTTTGATTTGTATATTTCTTTTTAAAGTGTATCTTCTTTTTTCTTCTTTGGTTTTGTTATTCTGATCTTCTAAATTGGTTGTATACTGTTTTTCTTCTTTCCTTCTATTTGTCTACTCTGCTTCTTTTTTCTTTTCTTTTTCTGAAAGTTCTTCTTTTTTATTGAGGGTTATTGTTACTTCTTGTGTACTGTTATTTTGTGATTTTTTCTTTTCTTTAGATGCTTCTTTTTTTTCTTCTTTTTCTAATTTGTTGTTTTTCTTGTTTTTTTTAGTAAAGTCTTGATGCTTTTTTTTTGTTTCTTCTCTAACCATTTCTATCTTTTTAGTATTGGGTAATATACTTGTTTCTTCTCTAACTATTTCTATCTTTTTAGTATTGGGTAATATACTTGTTTCTTCTTTTTGGTTTTTTTTCTTCTATTTCTAGGTTCATGTTTTTTTTTGCTTTACTATATTTTCCTTTGTACTAGGTTTTAGATTATTCCAAATTTCTTCTGAATTGTTGTTGCTTCTCATGATTAGATTCCAGTTTTCTTGTTTTTTTGCAGCTTCTCAAAGACCTTTTGTAAATCTTGTGTTTCTACTATGTTTTTTGCTTTTAGTATTTTTCCATAAGTCATACTTTGCTTTGTTCTAATTATGCTATATTATATTTTCTTATTAATTTTTTCTAAGACTTCTTCATTTTAATGTTTTCTGTATTATTCTCTATAATAATTTTTTTGTTTCTGTTTTTATCAGCTATTTCTGGTTTTCTTTCTTTTTTTTGCAAGTTTCTTTAGCATTTTCTTTGCCTTGAACTTGAATTTTCTGGCCAATTCTTGTATTATTTTCTTGTTTTCTTTGACTTGTTTGTTTCTTCTCTACTTGTTTAGATTTTCTATACAACATTTTTTTTAATCTTTCATCATGTTGTTCTTTTTGTAATAATAAGCATTCTATCATAATATCTAGTACATAGAGATTTTGTTTTGTAATATATAGCAAAAAGGCCTCAATTTTGCTTTTCATAATAAAGTTGCGATATCTGTAAAGGCAGTGTCATTTATCATCTGATTTTTTTTATCAGAGGC